CGTGTTTCATAGACCCCAGAAAGCTGGTTGACCACTAGTTGTGAATTGCTGAAAATAAGAAACTGTTCTGCACTGAAGTGTTCGGCGCTACGTAAGCCAGCCAATAATGCTTCGTACTCGGCCTCGTTGTTTGAAGCCTTCCAACCGAGTTTGAGAGCCTGTTCCCAGATAAACCCTTCTGGTGAAATGAGTACTACTCCTGCCCCCGAGCCTCAGTTATTGGACGATCCATCAACATAGAGCTGCCAAATGTTTCCAATAAAGAGTTTCCAGGCTTCCGAAGCGCAGGGCTTTCCTTGTTCGATGGTGTATGGCACCTGTGCTAAACTTGGATCCCCCGGTTCGGTACTCTGGGTTGGAGCAAATTTTGCGACAAAATCCGCTAAGACCTGGGCCTTGATCGCTGTCCTGGGGTGATACCGAATGTCAAACTCACCAAGTTCTACTGCCCACTTTGTTGTTCTGCCAGAGAAATCGACTCGGCTGAATACAGATCTGAGGGGAAATTCAGTGAGGACATTAATGGTATGCCCCTGGAAGTAATGCTGCAGCTTTCTTGAGGCGATAAGTAGCGCGTATGCTAACTTTTCCAACGGTGGATACCGTGTCTCGGCATCTAGTAAAGTCTTGCTGACATAATAGACAGGCCTCTGTTCCTTGTCAACTTCTCGAACTAACACTGCGCTCACGGCATGATCTGAGACTGCTAGATAGAGGTACAGCTCTTCTCCCGGCTCTGGAGTGGACAGTAGAGGAGGTGTGCTGAGGTATCTTTTGAGACTCTGCAGTGCTTCGGTACATTCGCTACTCTATTCAAATGCCGCCTTTTTCCTCAAAAGTTAAAAGAAGGGTTTCATCCGATCTGAGGATTTGATAATAAACCGATTCAGTGTGGCCGCCATTCCGGCTAGTTTCTGCGGTTCCTTAGCTTTTGTTGGTACTTCAAGATCATGTATTGCTCTGATCTAATCCAAATTCGCTTCAATTCCTCTGTGAGTGACCATGTATCCCAAGAACTTCCATGTTCCTACCCCGAAGGCGCATTTCGAGGTATTGAGGCGAAGCTGGTGGTTTTTTAGGATGCCAAAAACTTCTCTCAAGTCTGCAAGATGGTCTGTAGCGAACTTGCTTTTTACTACCATATCGTCTATATATGCTTCCATGGTTTTTCCCAGTTTATCCTTGAACATCCATGTAATCATTCGCTGGTAGGTTGCCCTGGCGTTCTTTAGGCCGAATGGCATTACTTTGTAGCAGTAAGTTCCCCTTGGAGTGATAAACGCTGTCTTTTCTTGATCCGAACCGAACAGTGGTATCTGATGATAATCGCTATAGGCGTCCAGAAAGCTCATGCGCTCATGCCCTGCTGTTGAGTCCACTAGTTGATCAATGTGAGGCAGCGGAAAGCTATCTTTAGGGCAGGCTTTGTTCAAGCAAGTGAAGTCAACACAAACTCTCCATTTTTTGTTCTTCTTCTTGACTACAACCGTGTTGGACAGCCATTGTGGGTACTGAACTTCCTTGATTGCTCCTGAAGCCAGGAGTTTTTCGACTTCAGCAATTACTGCTTCAGTGTGCTCGACTGACGATCTCTGACTTTTTTGCACAATAGGCTGAGCTGAAGGGTTAATGTTGAGCTTGTGGCAAGCAAATTCTGGGTCCAACCCTGGAGTATCATATGCTGACCATGCGAATACCTCCATATTTTCCCTCAGCAGTTCCAGCAGCTAATGTTTGTCATCAGCGCCTAGCGAGGTACCGATAAGGAAGTATTTTTCTGGGTCATTTTCTTTTACCAGGACTTTCTCTAAATCCTCTACTATCTTTTCCTCTGGGGTTCCCCCTACATCTTCCAAGACTGGCTGTTCGGTCACTTCTACCATCTGTACCCGATTGCAGAGCTGTTTTACCTTTAATGCTGTGATGAAGCAATGTCAACTTGATCCCTTGAAATCTGCTCTACTCCGTGTTCCGTTGGAAAACGGATGAGCTGGTGATAGGTTAAAAGGACTGCTTCCATTCGATGAATCCACGGATGGCCAAGTATGGCGTTGTAAGGGGATGATGTATTAATAACCAAGAACTCTATCTGGAGGGTTTTTGTCCCCACCACGACTGGCAACACTATTCTGCCAAGCGGCCATTCTGGCTGTGAAGTGAAACTGACCAATGGGGCTGCCACTGGGGTGAGGTGCTGCTCGGAGAGACCAAGCTTTCTGAATAAATCGTAATACAGTATGTCTGCTGTACTGCCCTGATCTACTAGGACTCGTTTTACGTCAAATCGTTTTCCAATTCCCACAGTTATAATTAATGCATCAGTATGTGGGTGTTGTATGCCTTCTAAGTCTTTGCTAGTAAATGAAACTATGCACAAGGGGGATTTAGGTACTGTACGTACCTTTTTTGATGCAGGCTCCACTGACATGATCCGCTGAATTTGTGCAGCCTTAGCAATCTCTTCCTTCAGTGCCTCCTCAAATTCCTGAATCGCTGTCCTGTTAATCACATTTATTATCAGCCGAGGTGGATGCTCAATGTTTTCTTCTGGTGGTGGGTTTCCTGGCTCGATCATTTCCTTATCCTGATCAATGTAATCCCTTAGGTGTCCAGCTGCCACTAGGTCTTCCAAGTATTGCTTCAGTGCCCTGTAGTTCTGAGTCATGTGCCCCTGTCTTGGTGGTAAATGCATCTGAGCTTCTGATTGCGCCGAGCTGGATCTCCTAACATTTTCGGCAGCCAAACAAAGAACGGCTCTCTCTTGATCTTTTTCAGAATTCGATAGATTGGCTCTTTGAATACAGTCACAACAGTTTCATGGGATTTGGACTTATCCACCTCATTTACTACAATCCCTCGCTGTTCTCCTCGATCTGTTCTCTTCTTATGTCGAGTTGTTTGTTCTGCTGACACTACCTTAATGGGGATCTGATTATCTTCGAGACGAGTGTACTGTTCAATCCTGGCGCGCAAGTCTTTCAAAGCTGTGGCCGGGCGCTTGGTAAGTGATTGTCTCAGCTTACTTTTTGGGCGCAGACCATGTTTGAAGGACATAACGGTCATCTGCTCACTGCACACATTTTCCTCCAAGTCATTGTATTCTTCCCAGTACGTCCTAGCATAATTGCGCATCGTTTCCTCCTGCTCTTTACGGAGGCCAAACAGTGTATCCGACTCCTTCGGGATCTTACTGTTGGAGACAAACCTGGCTAGGAACTCTTCGGAGAGCTGCTTCTAGCCATGGATCGATCCAGCGAGGAGACGATCGAACCATCGAAGTCCGATTTCTCCCAAGCTGGATGGGAAGACTTTACACATCAGAGCCTCATCTCGGTTCCATAGGGACATCATCTATCTATAGTGGCTAATATGTGTCAGTGGGTCCGACTTCCTGTCATATAAAGTGAACTTTGGTGGGGTGAATTTCTTTGGAGGTCTCATGGTCTCGATCTCCGGGGAGAATGACGAAGAGACGAGCCTGTCCAGCGCTCGATGTTCCCTCTAGTGAACAGTACGGTCCAGATGATCCCGATGTTGTTCATTCTGCCTATTACCAATCAACCAAGTACGAAGGTCCTAAGGAGGTTATTCGGTCTGTTGACTAACGGTCTTCTGCCTCTTGGTCCTTTTCCGATGTAACCCACGGGTGTGACTGCTTGCTGCCTCACTCGGTACCGGGATAGGCTGGCTTTGTTTCCCAGACTCATTCCTGGGGAACTTCTTCACTGGTGGCTCTTTGGATGAGCTCCTTCGTCGCAAACGAGAGGGCTCCACTCCCGTCTTCTTTTCTGTTGGATCGCCCAGCACCCTCTTAAGTTGGGCTTTCAACTCCTGTATCTCCATCCCCATGGAGTCTATGATGCGATCTCTATAATCCTTTTCTAGAAGAAAATGATGAGAAGAGCCTCCAGCGAAGGGTAATCGGTGCTCGACAGATTCAGGGGTTCGATTATTGTTTCCAGTTTGTTCCTTCGAGACTGTTGGGAATGCCAAGCCTTTATCCTTCGTCTTCTCCGTCTGTGGAGTATGTGTTGAAGGCGGAACGTCCTCAATCCCTATCGCCGAAACTGAGTGTAAAGCTCAGAGATGAAGTGTCCACGCTCACCGCACCAATTGTGCGTACCGGATTCCGCACTAGATGAAAGTGGATCGAGGCTCCACACTCGGTTGGACTATCCAGGGACTGAAGTTCCTGCGACAAGAGGCACCGTTAGAGCTACCCAGCCGGGGTTGGCCGGATGACCCCTTCGGTATGGGAATTAGTGATCGGAGAAGGGAGTTGAGTATGGTTTTGCTTGGAATAGTTCAGTTCTCTTTAGTTACCTTCAATGAGAAGTTCATGTAGTATATATATGTTGTTCCTTGCTTACTTCTCAAGGTGGATTCATGGAGCTTGGATGCTGCTAGGTGTCCTTTTGTGGGGGACGACCTATTAATTGCCAATAAATGCAAATACTCATTGTAGTCATGCTGATAACAAACCACATTCCTTTGGCTCAACAACTTCCGTGATTCTAGGTGTAGGGGACTAGCTGACGTGGCAACCTGCACATGTACACGTTCACAGCTTCCACGTTTCCTTGCGAGGTTTCCTCAGCTCGGTACTGATGTTCCTCAGCTCGGCATCATTATGCCTTGTCTCGGCCTTTTACAGGATCACTCAGGGAGATGGGCTTTTCCATTCAAGTAACTTTGCATGGGCTTGGCCTATTTTCTGTTCGGCCCGTAGATTCAGTCTCGCAGCTCGGCCCAGCCCAGCACCACGGCTGGACTGGCCTTTCCACTGTGGGTTGGACCCAAGTGCTTGACAACTTGGGTGGACTGTTGGTCATGAAGTTGGGCTTAATTGGTTTGCTTATATACTCATCCAACCCACTTGGATTTGGACTTCAGTGGATTGGGCCGGCCCAAGGCTTGGACCCGACCCATTTCACGTTTAGCCCCTTTATTACTCTACTAAAACAATTACAAAACGAAATCGAATAATTAGTTAAATAACTAATTAATTACAACACTTTATAAAATTAACTAGCTACAACTAATTAATTACAACAAATATCTAATCTAAATATTTAAACTAAATAGGCTCGATATGCGAGGAATGCTTATGCATGTGATCGGTTTTCACCCGAAAAGGCCATTGTCTTGCTTCCAGAAGGCCTCTGTTGCACAGTAGAACACTTACACTTTTGTCCACTTCCAGAATAACTCTGCTCTACTCAAAAAACACGTTACTGAATTTTGTATTAGTGGCCGACCGACCAGTAGTGAGGGTTTGCCGGCCACTAGTGATAGCCAGCTGGCCATCAAAGGTGGCCTGTCGGCTATGGAAAATGGCTTACCGGCCACTGCTGCCCGAGAAATGGCGGGGACTTTGAGGGAGTCTATGAACTTGTTGAGGGCAGAGAATCAAGCCCGAGAGAACACCGTGGAGTCAAGGACCAGTTTTCTTACTAGAGAGTTTTTACGGGCCAAACCAGATGAATTCCATGTTGGCCACGAGCCCAAGAAAGCAGATGAGTGGCTCGAACAAACTGTGAAGACGTTCAAGATGCTTCATATAGATGATAGCGAGTTGAGGGTGACTCTAGTGAGTTACTACCTTAAAGGGGATGCGGGTCAGTGGTGGAAGTATGCCAAAGGTAGGGTGGAGCCATCATGGGAAGCCTTTGTGGTTGCTTTCCAAGATAAGTATTTACCTCCCGCTGCTAGGGAGAGATTGAGGAAAAAGTTCAAAGACCTTAAACAACTCGACATGACCGTGGCCGAGTTCGAGGTAGTCTTCTCTAGTTTATCTAGGTTTGCACCAGAGTTGGTGGCAACGGAAAAGCGTCGTTGCATTGAATTCGAGAAAAAGTTAAAAACCAAAATTTTCTTTAAGATTGTTGGGAACATGATTCAGAACTATGACCGTCTTGTAGAGTCGGCGACATACGTTGAGATTTCCGTACAAGCCGAGGAGGAGAGGCTTTGGAGTTCGAGGCCTAGGGGCCAAGAGTCTTAAGGAGACTATAGGTAGAATAAAAAGAGCAGGGGTACTTTTTCATTCCAGCCACAACCACAGCAGTCAAAATCCACTTTTCCTTTGCCTAGTGCGGTTCTGGGAAAAAGTATATATACTGGCTTCACGTGTTTCAAGTGTGGCCAGCCATGCCACAAAGCCTTTTCGTGCCCACAAAAAGGTGGAGGACAATTGATGTTGCCACCACCACCACCTAACCGATCTCAGAGTCAGTCTCAGTCTCAGAATGGAGGCCAGGGATTTAATTGTTATCAGTGTGGTCAGTCGGGGCATATGAAGAGAACTTGCCCTTAGTTGGGAGGCACATCTGGCGCATCAAGCTTGAAGCAGACTTAGAGCCACCAGCAGGCTCATTCAGCTCAGGCTTCACGAGCTAATCAGGGAGCCACTTCGGCTCTGTGGTACAATAGGCCTATGCTCCTAGAGGGGGGCAAGTTAATCAGGGGCCACAGGGGCGCGTGTATGTTGTTACGGTGCCACAGCAGTTGCCAGAATCCTTAGTTGTAAGAGGTATTTTTGTTGTGTGTAATTCTTTGGCTAATGTATTAAAAGACACGGGTGCGTCTCATTCATTTATATCTACTGTATTTGCTTCTGCATTGGGGTTAGAGGTAGCAAAGTTAGTGCCTTCACTCAGAGTAGAGTCACCTGTTGGGGGTACAATTAATTTAGACTGGGGTTGTCGTGATTGTGAAATAGAAGTTGCCGGGCATCGACTTCCGTTTGCTTTTGTGTTGCTAGATATGTCAAGTTTTGATGTCATTTTAGGCATGGATTGGTTGTGTTCTTATCAAGCTGTGATTGATTGTTACCGTTAGAGAGTTACAGTGTGCACTTCGGGTGGCGATCGTTTCTATTTTCGGGGAACCGAGTTGATAGAGCCTTGTCGCCAGTCGTTAACCCTTGTAGTAGGAGCAAGCTTAGTGGCCTTCTTGCAACTCTCTTGGATAGTGAGAGTGACAGGGCTCGTGTTGAGTTACCAAGTAATTTGTGAATATCCGGATGTCTTTCCATAAGATTTTACTAGTTTACTACCTCACCGGGAGATTGAGTTCTACATTGAATTAGTGCTTGGCACGGCACCGATTTCCATGTCACTATATAGATTTGCACCAACCGAATCGCATGAGTTGAAGATTCAACTCCAAGAAATTTTTGACAAGGGCTTCATTCGTCCTAGTACATCACCTTGGGGAGCGCTGGCTCTCTTTGCGAAGAAGAAGGATGGGTCATTGCGATTGTGTACTGATTATCACAAGTTGAATAGAGTTACAGTTAAGAACAAGTATCCTTTACCGGATATCATGGTTAGTAGAGGCCGGTCTTCGGACCGGGCGAAAGGGGGTGCTCATAGCTGACCTTCCCCGATCGTACCCAAGCTCCCGAGCCGAGACAACTCCGGTGATGACGGACATGTGGCCTTCGGCACCGAGTTAGGGTTTCCTAAATTCTCCCATTTTAAAATATTTAGGTGGCGACTCTGTATCTGGCAAAGCAGTCCATGTTTGGCACTACTTTTTCAAAAATCTGTTTCTCAAAACGATTTGCCAGATTTGGACTCTTTGGTTCAGATTAAGAACCGCGACAACAAAATCGAGTCCGAACTGTAGCACGAGGTCCCACGCGGGCGCTGTTACAGGTAC